TCATTTTCCACCTGTCTTCTTTGTGTGGGAGTTGTGTCCTGTGTGTGTAATGCACCCTGGGTTAATTCTTCCCTGTTTTCATGCCTGTTCTTAGTCAATTGTTTACTATATTTGGTTAATAAGCTTGTCTTTTCTATTCATTCTGCCTGAGTCTCTTAAGCTTTGTACTGTACTGCAGGGTGTGCCCTGACTGAAGAGAGGCACCCTATGATGACATCACTTCTGGGTTATCCTGGATGTGATGTCATTGTGACACGGATGCCATTCCTCCTCCCCAAAGTTCCTGCCTCCTCCATCTGCTGCTGGTTGATGGCCTGTGCCTGATAACTGTACTTGAACCAGAGAGTTGGAAGTAATCCAAGGCCCTTGACTGCTCTGGCGGTGAAGAGGGAAGGAGGGTTCCTTGGAAGGGAAGTCCTGCCCACAACAAAATCTTGCACGGACAGAATGGTTCATTGGTTTGATGTCCAAAGGAGGTCGTGAATTATTCATTTATCTGATGCTTAAAACAAATCTATTTGCTTGTTTGAACATTTCTTTCCCAACTTTCTTTGCATGTGGACTTGAATATATCTTTTCCCCCCCACAGCTCAGAGAATAAATTGATGATACCTGCTAATGAGATTATATCCAGGGGAAGAAAACCATTGGTTGCAATCCTTGAGAATGACTTGGATCTTGTTTTAGATGAGTTAGTCTCTGCATCTGTCATCACAGAGGAAGAATATGAGGCCTTCAACAGAATTGAGGAGGATTCCAAGAAAAGTCGAAAATTGCTTCTTCTGATACAGAAAAAGGGGGAAATGGCCTGCTGCCAGTTCCTGAAACATTTAGATATTACATGTCCAGGTTCAAATCAAGTTCTGCAATGTTCAGTACACCGTGAGTCACTCTTAATGTTCTTCCTAAGCCTCTTTAACATGACTGTCATATTCCTTTTCACATTAATACAATGAAAAACACAGTGTATATGCAGAACAAATCAGAAAGGACTGTGTAAACCGGCTTTAACCACTGAATATAAAAATTAGACATTCTTGAAAGCTAGTATTGTGTATTTTTCTATAACAATGAACAATACACAAAGACAGTTTCTAATTATAGTAACAATTGTCACAGTATTCCACAGTACAAGACGGTTTCAGTAAGTTAAAGTACAGAATTCAACACTGTTCAACCAATCATCGTTTGACAAAAACCAACTATATATGCACAATTCCCAGCCAACATAATAAGTAAGGCTTGATGTTTAAAACACCAGACAACAACCTATGACAACACCAGGCACCAATACAGTGTTGAGGTCTGTGTCCTATGCAAGTTTGTGCATGGTGTTTGATGTGAGATAAAATTTGACATGATTGATTGTGCCGACCTTTTGTGCTGTGATAAAGTAGAAAGAAATTTGAAGAAGGTCTTGGCTTTTGAAGAAGGCTGTCGCCGAAACGAGGAGATTGGGTGCTCTTCCTGTAAAGCCTCAAATAAGCTCTGTACTGAAGCTGGTGTTGGCTGGGATGATTACAACGATTGGTGTTTGGTGTTTTAAACATCAAGCCTTACATAATATGTTGGCTGGGAATTGTACATATACAGTTGGTTTTTGTAACCGATGACTGGTTGAGCAGTGTTGAATTTTGTACTGTAACTTACTGAAGCAGTCTTGCGCTGTGGAATAGTGTGACAATTGTTATAATTAGAAACAGTGTTCATGTGTTGTTCATTGTTACAGAATAATAAACAATACTAGATTTCAGTAATAAGTTTGATTTTCATATTTAGTGGTTAAAGCCTGCTTACACAGTGGTTCCGTTCTGATATATCCCTTCTCAAAACAGTAACTACTATTCTCATATTGCTCAAGACTACAGTCTACACCAGGTTTTTGCCACTTACGAGTGCAGTCAGAATTCTGTCCCAGTGAACTTGAGACTCAGGTGAAACACTTATCCCCATATTCAGACCAAAAACTTGCATGTGAACATTCAGCATCATCTAGAGCTATCAAGAGGCCTGGAGAAAAATGCCCTGGCCTTTCAATAGAGGTTTAATGAAATGGTATGTACACATTGCTTTCAGTAAAAAAATATAATCTCCTCCCTCTTAATATATTGATGGACATATGAATAAATTATTTCCTTGACACACTGAGTCTGGCCCTTGGGGTTCTGTAACTATATAGTTTTCATTATTTTTATTATTATGGGTTATAAATTGCTTTTGTTCTCATTGTGACAGAGGATGCAAAATGGAATTATTCAGGAAGGCTTTTCTACACAAGTGATAGGGTTGTACTTGTATAGAACGGCTCAGAAAGCTACTAGGGTGAAAGTTTAGGGACTGTGGTCTATACTACCATGTATAGCTTATACTACCTGTTGCTGTAAGTCGGATTCTACTATGTAATTTTTGCGTCACGCAACACATCATGTTAGTACTTATGCTTTGCTTCAGTCCTGCTTTCAGATTTCTGATTGGTTCCAGATTTCTACAGTCCAAGTACTACCACACTGTTTTGTTGTGTGTCTCATTCTATGTAATTTGCTTTGATTCCCCGTGAGAAAGGTGGACTATAAATAATGTCAACACAAATGCATCTATATTTAGCAGTTATCGTGACTGAATATGTTTGTAGCATAAAAAAGGGCCCTCATCTGTCAGTGACATCATCTGATGTTACAGCTCTTGTTAACAGGTCTAAAGGATGCTAAGACTAGAAATCCAAGGGCTCTGATCATGTTAGAGCTTTCAGTCACAAGTAGGAATCTTGTCTGCTGCTTGGGGGGGAGGTTTTAGCTGGCTTTCATTGCACGACTCGTTTTGTGTTTAAAAACAGTCCAGTACACGTGAATGGGCAATAGAGGTTTGCTTGTTAGTGTTAGTATTTTAAATGTATGTTGTTACGTTTATGTTATTAGTTTATATATCTTTTATGTAATCACTCAGCAGTTGTACAGTGATAAAAGTAACACCATAAAATCATTTTAAAACAGAGGTATGATCACTGAAAGACATCAACAGAATCCCACATGAAACCAGCAGAGAATAAAGTGAACTGTACAACTAGTTCATCAATATTGTATCTTAAATAGGTTCCCCACGCCAACCTTTAACTATCTGAAGACCTAGGTGAGCAAAAAGGTATTTTCCTAGGTAACAGCTAGAGAAATTTGGTACCAGGGAGCCTCTGCAGGAAGTGCAAAATGCCACCACTAAGAAGGACCTGTCCAAAATGGCTGCCCACCTTGTTAACTAAGGATCTCTTGGGTTTATCCATTAAAGGATTAGCTGCAGTATACGTGCAGTCAAGATTTTAAAATCTGTTTTTAAAAAACCTTTAAGAGTATGTTTCCAGAAACAACTAAATCAGTATGAATTTCCTGCTTGGTAGTTAATTGTGAGTTGATGTTTCCAGGTTGTTCAAGTCCGGAGCAAAAAGCTGAAGTTCAGCAAGAGGAGAAACACCCTGCCACAGGTATTTTCTTGTCTCTTGTCCTCCTAACATTTTAATTAATATTGCATCCGAAGTGGGTCCCAGGTGCCGCACATTGGGGGGTATAGCCTATGCCTGTCACTGCCTCCTGTACATCTGGAGAACTGAATAAAGTACCACTGGAGTTTACTTTGGACTGGGCCAGCAGCAAGGCAGATCTGAGTGGTGACAGTGGCCACAAGCTATGCTAGTCACTACCTCCTGTGTCCCAGCCCTTCTCAAACTGTGCAACCCTGAGTGATCTCTGCATCTAGGTGTTCAGTAGGATCAGACTTTGCGCCATGTATGTAACCAAAACAGGTGCTCTCTTCCCTTATAGTGTGATGTTTCAGTTCAACGAATTTGAAAAAAAGAATTGTTTTACGTTTGATTGATAAGCAGTTAATGTTAGCCTAACCAGGAGTATCCTATACGAAAGAAGCAGTGTGTAAAGCAGCTTAGTATGCAATCTATGGTACATCTTAGAGTCTAAAGCTTACACCTTGAGAAGCCTAATTTGCTCCTCTGTCATTATCCTTTCTTGTTTTAAAAAGCTTGTCAGCCTAGGCGATAGTGACACTTCCCTTTCTTCTTCCATTTCCCTTGTAATACTTCTAGATTACAAAATTAGCTCATGGGAGCAAAATAACTTATACAAAATCAACCATAGATATTTGTAAATGTTTTTAATGTATTTCAAATATTCTGAATGCCAAATTTGGGCCGCGGTCACACGCAACATTAGCCACGCAAGAGATACGTAACCAGGAGTATCCTATACAAAAGAAGCAGTGTGTAAAGCAGCTTAGTATGCAATCTATGGTACATCTTAGAGTCTAAAGCTTACACCTTGAGAAGCCTAATTTGCTCCTCTGTCATTATCCTTTCTTGTTTTAAAAAGCTTGTCAGCCTAGGCGATAGTGACACTTCCCTTTCTTCTTCCATTTCCCTTGTAATACTTCTAGATTCCAAAATTAGCTCATGGGAGCAAAATAACTTATACAAAATCGACCATAGATATTTGTAAATGTTTTTAATGTATTTCAAATATTCTGAATGCCAAATTTGGTTAATTTCTGGCCAAGCTCAACAACTTGAGTTCTGTGTGCCTCTTGATATTTTTCTGTGTTTAATGGATGGTTAAGGATTAGAGTTTGCTCAGTTCTATCATCGGGTGAGACATACTTGCTCATTTCTGCCAATTTGGGATCATTGTACCACCCTTCCTGCCTCTCAGTTGGTCTAGCAGATGGGCCACCAGGAAAGCGCCGAATGGCCATAATGACAGTCCACCCTTGCCTTGACACTTCATAATAGTAGTGGACAAAAGGTAACTATGCCATGTAAGTAGCGTAGAAAGGTGTAAGTGCATAGGAGAGAAGCATGGCTGCCTAGACTTACATAGTGGAAAGGTAGTAAGTAAAAAGTTAAGAAAAACCCAAGGAAGTAAAATATCAAGTGAGGCTACAGCAGCAAAGTGCTAGGTTGTAGTGATATAAAATAATAAAACTTCTATAATCTCCTTTTACAGAGAGAGGGAAAGCACTTGAGGATATTCTCAGGAAACTAAAGTTGCAGAAGGAAAAAAGCAAGAAATTCTCCCTGCAAAAAGTCCTAGAAATTAGTTCAGGGCGTCTAAAGGAATGCATCCCTAGTGCCATGGAAGATTTGCCGTGGCATTTTCTGCGGAAGGTCTTGGCTCTGAACGTGACAGCCAGGAGCACAAGCCTGAGGAAGGGGACATCTGATGGTCAGCAGACAAGAAAAGAAGAGGGGGAATACAGAATTGATGAGAGTATTTTCTGTACAGTCAGGATGGATGAAAGAGTTTCTGTGAACCCCCTTGATGTCCTTTGTGCTGTTCTGTTTTGTTCTGACAGTTTCCTCCAGCAGGAGATCCTTTCCAAAATGTCCATGTGCCAGTTTGCCTTGCCTTTACTTCTGCCTCCTTTAGAGACTTCCCATTGTACCCTGATGCTTTGGGCCATGAGAGACATTGTGAAAAAATGGAGGCCCCATTCCCTGGTTGACAGTAGGAGCTTTAGAGAGGAGAGTCTGGTGCTCACGTCCATGCCAACTATCTCCTTTGTGCGAATGGGAAGTTTGAGTCTCTCCAAGTCCAAACTCCTGAATGAGTTTCTCAGTCCTTCCCAGCAGCACCATGATTTCTTTCTGCACCGAGACATGGAATGTGGGAACATACCTCGGGAAATCGCTGATGGGCTAGTAGAGATTGCCTGGTATTTCCCAGGAGGGCAGAAGAGCTTGGACCTTTTCCCAGAGCCCATTGCAGTCGCTAACCTCCATGGCGATGTTGAATCACACTGGGTGCAGTTCAGTTTTTTATCAGAGATATCCTCGGCAATATTTATATTTGCTGAGCACATTGGTGAAACAGAATATACCCTTTTATCATCACTAAAGGAATCATCAACTAAATACTACTTTATCTTGGAGTCTTGTGGTGGAAAATTCAATGAAACTTTAACTTTCTTAAATAAATTGGCCCCAGTGCTTAATCTCAGTAACTCAAATATCCTAGCAAAAGATGGCACAACCAATACAGCAGAATTTGTAGAACAGCTACGCTTTATCACTGGAAGAATAATCAACTCTCCTCTGAAGACAGTAAGCATACAAGAGATGGCTACTGTGGCCCGGGAACTTACGATCCAGGTGGATGAGGACTTCAGGGAATGTCAGGATGCTCGCAACTGTGCTGTATCAATCACAGGAGATGTAAGAGAGATAGCCGTTTACAAAAAGGAAATGCTGAAACTCCAAGGTGATCTTTGGAAAAACCTGGCAAAAGTGGAGAAGGAGCTGTGCAGGATGGAAAGGCAAGGGGCGATGCCCTCTGAAAAATACAGATCTGAACAGAGAGACAAACTGATGGCCCTGCGTGAGCAACAGAACAAGTGTGATCTCAGTATTGGTTTGATAAATTTCATCCATGGCATCAGGCATTCGCAGTCAGCAGAAAAGCACTTCTTCTTAAAATGGATGAAGTTCAACCTGGATCACATTGCTAGGGCTAACCTTTCTAAGTTACGGGCTGAGTATAAAGAGAAATGCAAGCTGTTAGGAGGCGAAGTCCAGAAGATAGTAGAGGTAGACCAGCTGATCTCTTCTTCCTCCTTGGGTGTTGAGCATTTCATGAGAGAGCTGGGTCAGTTTTATGAGGCAGAACGTTCGATGGTCAGAGAAGGCAAATTATCTAAAAACATGAGGCAGTTTGCCCATTTCCCCAGCATTGCTGCTGACCTGATGCTGGAAGGATTTCCTCTAGAGCTGATTGATGGAGATGCTTCCAACATCCCCCTGCAGTGGATAACAGATGTTCTGACTCAACTCAATAACTAACGGAGAAGTCGATCCAAGATGTTTGTGATAACTGTGCTGGGGGTGCAGAGCACTGGGAAGTCCACCCTCCTCAACACCATGTTTGGACTGCAGTTTGCTGTGAGCAGCGGCCGATGTACACGAGGGGCCTTCATGACTCTTCTTAAGGTCCGAGAGAACCTGATTCAGGAGCTGGGCTGTGATTTCATCCTGGTGATTGACACAGAAGGCTTGAAAGCTCCTGAACTGGCCAAACTGGAAGACAGCTATCAACATGACAATGAGCTGGCCACTCTGGTGATAGGGCTGAGTGATGTAACAATAGTGAACATG